CAATAAAATGGACTCAGCAAGGTATGTGCATGCGTGTGGTTTATGCAACAATAATAAACAGAGAAAGAAGGGTTACCAACTTGAAAGGGATCCATGGGAGGGTGTGAGGGGGGATAGCTAAGAATGGCTAAAGGGGGAAAGGGAGAAGGGAAAGGAATATAATTCTGTTTCAATTAAAATCATTTTTTCAAAAGGTCTTAGAAGAAGCTCTGGCCTCCTCAAGCCTGTGCACACACACACAAGTTGTCAATTTACTTAATGTGGTAGTTGGAATGTAATCTGCCCCCATAAGCTCATAGGGAATTTATTAAAAGGTGTGGCTTTGGTGGAGTAGGTGTGGTCCTGTTAGAGGAACTATATCACTGTGGAGGCGGCCTTTGAGGTCTCATATATTCTCAAGCCATGCCCAAGTTCACTTTCTGTTGTCTGTGGATCAAGGAATAAGACTCACAGCTACTTCTCCAGCACCATGTCTGTGTGCACACCACCATGCCTCCCATGTTCCCACTATGAAGATAATGGACTAAACATCTGAAGCTATAAAACACCTCAATTAAATATTTTTCCTTTATAAAAGTTGCTGTAGTCATGGTGTCTCTTCACAGCAATAGAAACCCTAACTATGAAACTTAATAAAGTGAAGATTATAGGTTTTACAAATGTATAAATATATTTTAATACCAATAGTTTAGGAACGAAAGAGAGAAATAGAGAACAAATTGTACTGTGAAAGGGCCCTCAGGCTTTGAAGGCTGCTGTCAGGAGCTCAGAAAGGGGGCTTAAACAGAGAGTGTTTCCCCAGCGTGCTCCACAAAGATACAGAGAATTTAATTTCCTGTTCTCCACAACCAGAGTTTTGAGGCAAATAAATGGTTTATCCAAGCTGCTGATGCAAGGCATAGACAATGGGGGAGCTGAAGTTGATGGAGAAAGCAGAGATTGCTGAGGTCAAGGCATGCAGTCAAAACACAACGTGTGTGTGTATGTGTGTGTGCGTGCAAGCCCATACATGCGCATGTGTATGCCTCTATGTCTAGTGTGAATTTATGTCTAGTATGTGTATCTATGTTGTATGTCTGTGTTGTGTGTATGTGTCTGTGTGTTTCTGTGTGTATGTCTATGTATGTCTAATGTGTTTTTGTATCTAGTGAGTATATCTATGTGTGTGTGTGTCTGTGTTGTAGCGTGTGTGTCTGTGTGAACAACTATGCAGTGTTTATGAGTGGTCTCGAATATGCACATATAGATAGGAATATTAAGCGCTGGTGCTGGAAATGTGGCTGAACTGAGCTCAGGTGGATACAAAAGGCCAAAGGACCTGGGGAAAAGCAGTGCTGCAGGATGACCTCGGAGAGGGAGCAGCGCTGCAGGATGACCTTGGAGGAAGCCCTCACTGGACCTGAGTTTAAATAGCCCCAGCCTCCTAGTAACAGACTACTTGCTGGTTTCTCTATGTTAACCGTAGTTTTAAGAGGCTCTCAGTGAACACAGCTATCATTCCTCTCCCGCCACAGTCGTCACCAATATCCAGGCCAACCCAGAGAAGCAGTCCAGGCTCCGCAGCCGACGCTGCTACTTTTATGCTTAAATTCCTCTTACCTGAGGCAATAGGCATCTTGTTGAGTTCCATGTGGAATTAAGGGCTTATGAGTTCTTTTTATAGGAAAAGGATATTCTCCCTCTTCATATTCTTGTTTAGAAAAAATCTTGTAGACATCTGTCCAACACAAAGATTCCCTCTAGATTCATGGCTGACAACCTTTTCTGTAAAGGGCCAGACAGTAAATATTTGAGGCTTTGGAGGTCATATGAATCCTGTTGTGCCAACTATTGTTACATGAAGCAGCCATAGACCACATGTAAATAAATGAGCATGGCTGTGTTTTAATAAAACTTTATTTACACTATGAGGAACAGATTCAAAATATGGACAATGTTTGCCAGTTTCTCCTCTAGTGAAACACAACCGTGTGTCCTTTTGAAGTGAGTTAATATTCAATCTACTTTTGTAATTGGCCAATTTTAATTTTGCTTTACCACTCAGTTTTTTTGTCAGCAACTTTTCATTGTCATATATGGAGCTACATGCATTTCTTTACACCTCATCCTACCCCAGAGCTCTACAAGGCAGTGCCAATTCACTCTGCTTAGAGCTCGGGCACTGAGACCTAAACTCCACAATGGCGGCTCTGCAGCCATCTCCTTCCTCATCATAGAATAAAGCACATCTTTGGGATAGGAGGCACAGGCCAGGGGCGTTGGACTGAGGCTTTACTCTAATAACACATTTTCATTCGTGATCTTCTAACTCTTTCCTTTCCCATTCCCTTCCAGAAAGGGATGCCATTGTATGTGACCTACGTAATTTGGCACTAGCCCGTTAAAGAATGCCTGTCTGTCTTTGGAGCCCTGTGAGCAGAACAGTCTGAAAGAGCCCGTGCTGCTGCAGGGAAGTGATAAACGGTAGATTAGCCTGGCGGGAGAGATAATCTTTGCCCCCTGACACCCCTTTTCTGACAACAGCCAATAGGCTTCTCCTGGTGGTGGACTGCACATACATGCTGGTTTCTTTTAGTCCCAAACAATGCCAACAGCTGTGTTTGCACGTTATTGCTTGCCAGACCTCATATCTGTCATACTTGTTCAAACACCTACAAGCTGAGCAAAGGCTGATGGGCGGGAAGGGGTATTCTGCCGTCTGTGGCTGGGGAACTGAATTCATACTGACACGGGCTAGTAGGAGGATTTTTTCCTACAGTTCTGCCAGAACTAGAGAATGAACTAGAATTGTGATGGTAAAACATATGCTCCATGTGCTTAGAAGACAGTTTTCAAGCAGGGAGATCGTTCAGCTGGTAACATACTCCCTTTCCACACATGAGGAACTGTTCAGGCTCCTGTTCTGTGTGAAAAGTCCAGGGGTACCGGTGCACACTTGTAATCCCAGTGCTCATGAATACCTGCCTAGCCTACTTGGCAAGCTGCATGCCAGGGAGAGACCTTGTCCCACAAAGCAAGATGGAGTGATGCTCAAGGTTGTCCTACTGACTCCATTCACAGGTCTGCGTACATATGCACACTCGCCACACGAACATGTGACTTTTCTGCACTTCTGCAGCCTCCACCTCAATTAGAGTGTGACTCACCATAGTCACCCATACTGTAATCATCCTGCAAAAGAAATACATGCTTAACCTAGTAATAAAATACCCAGGGTCGGTCAGTGAGTTCAGACCCTCTGATCTCAACCTCTCCTCTACTGGGTAGTTATTCAATCATCCAAGGCCTCAGCCTGCTCATAAGCCAGCAGTCTACACCCATGTTGGTGATCTTCCATTTTCTTGCCTTTGTGATTCACACTTTGAATTCAGATTGTTTGAAGCTGAGCCAAACTGATGCTTTTTGGTGTTTTATTACTGTTTTGAATTATGACTGGAATCCACAATGATTTTTAATTTTGTGCCAAAGTTATTCCAAAGTGCTTACTTTGGCAATGAGCTCTAGAATGTCTGTCCCTCAGTAGGCACTCAATAAATACTCAAGCATTCTTAGTACACACACACACATATATATATACATATATATATATATAATATTTCTTTACAAAGTAGAAGCAAGATGTACCTGGCATATGGCAGACTGACTTCAGATCTCTTTAATGGCAGAGAACACTAAACAGAGCCCTGCTATGTTATCTCCTATGAGTAAATGATTTCCTCAATATCTATAAAAAAATATTCTGGACACAGTTTTTTGTTCCTGGGAATACATAATTCAGCAGTTCAATCTCTAGGGCTATAGCTGAGTTGGTAGAATATTTGACTTGTAGAAGTCCTCAGCACCATACAAACTTGGCGTGGTGGCACATACCTGCAATGCCAGCATTAGGAGGTAAGTAAAGGAGAAGCAGAAGCTCTGGACCATCCTCAACTACACATAGTGTTGAGGCTAGCATGAGCCACATAAGACCCAGTCTCCGCGAAATCAACGTGCACATCCCTAAGCTATGAAGACTTGTGTGACAAGTCCTCTTATATGGACTTGTACAAAGCATCAGAGTTTTACCCTAACAGTTTTCTTTCGATGACTTTTTTTAATAAGAGGAGAAAGGTGTGGAAAACAAGGGGTTATAGGGACCTTTCAATTCTCAAATCGAACATATCTTATGAGCATGCATCAAAAGTGCTCCTAAGCTTGGTTGGGCCTGTGTCCCATACCTTTAATCACAGCACATGGGAGGCAGAGGCAGGCGAATATCTATGAAAGTCAGCCTGGACTCCATGGTGAGATGGAGGCCAGCCAGAGTTACATAGCTAGACTCAGTTTAAAAAAAAAAAAATCAAAAAAAAAAAAAGCCAAACTGAGGGCTGAAGAAATGGTTCAATGCCAAGTGCATTGCTGCTCTTGCAGTAGACCTGGGTTCATTTTCCAGAACACACATGGCAGTGGGTTCACATCTGTCTATCTATTCCTCCAGTTCTCTGGGATCTGATGTCCTTCTGCCTCCACCCTGTCAACATGCAGCACAATACTCAGACCCATAAAGGAAGAATAAATAAATGTGTTTTACAATGTTAGGATACTCAGTTCCATTCTGGGCTGCAGTAGTGACTCAGAAGTTAAAAGCACTGGCTGTTCTTGCAGAGGACTTGGGTTCCATTCTCAGTACCCATGCAAGCTTACAATCCTCTGTAACTTTGATTATGGGGATCTGGTCTAAACCTTTTCTGGTTTCTATGAACTCAGGTACATACATGGTACACATATATACATTCAAGCAAAAACACTAGTACCCATTAAAATTAATCAAGTCCTTTTTAAAAAAAATGATAAAATTCTATCCTGTGAGCAGTACACACACACACACACACACACACACACACACACACACTCCAGATGGGCCTTCCCCATCAATGACAGCTACCAGGAAAGTTCTGCAGGTTTGGATTCCTAGGGAGATGACTCTCACTATGGCACTTTGACTTTGAATCAACCTTACCCTCCAATCCATTGTGGTCAGCCTTCCATCAGGGGGACAGGAAAACACAGAAAATAACAGGCTGGCTTTTCAAATCCTTCCCATAAACGTGTCCTATGACAACTTCAACTGAAGTCCAGTGCCTCTGTCAAAAGGATGCAGATACGTAAGCCTTTCCCTCAGGAAGGGCATGTGTCGGAACAAGATATAATTGATAACACAAAGAGGAATCCTTTTTCCCTCTTGTGACACAGATGGGTAGTTACTGCTCTGCTTGAAAAAGAAAATCCATGTGTTTCCTTTCCAAATTGTATTTCTTTCTTTTATTCTTTTTTATTTTGAGAGAAGAAGGGGAAACAAGGTCTCATATAACTCTGAGGACAACATTGTGGAACTGGTTCTTTCTACTTTTGCATGGGTTCTCGAAATCTCACTTAGACTGTCAGGCTTATGTAGGAAGCAATTTTACTTGGTAAACTATCTGGCTGGCCCAGTAGTCCCAACCTTAAAACTGACAGACAAAACCCTCTGAACACAAGCATGGGGAAGAGACTGGCGGAAAGTTCCTGCTAACCAGTTCATCGGCTACACAATCAAAGCCCTTTGCTGAAATGCTTGAAGCCCAATATGTCTCTGAACTCATCATTGCCTGCTCCTGAGAGTTGAGGCGCTGCACATACCACACAGCACTCAACATTCTATTGCGGTACAAGGCTGTGTCTCTAACCGAACATGTGAGTAACACCAGCATCAAAAGATCTATCAATGTGCCGGTAAGTTACAAATAAAGCTGGTGACTTCATACACTAAGACTTGAATTTTTCTATAAATGAATCTGCTGCAGCCTTATAATAAACCTTTAGAGTTCTGAAGATTCGAGGATTTGGCACATACAGATAAGAGACTGTGAGTTTGCATTTGACTTCATGTCTTAAATAGCTCTGTGATATATCAAGGTAGCAAGATAAGAAAAAAGTCAGGAATAGTATGTAACCTTTATCTCAGAAAGCAGAGAAAAGAATATTTGCCTATATTTTTGAAACATGCCGATACAGGAGCTGAGGAGATTTCATTTCATCATGTTTGCAATGCGTGTGTGAGCAGGGGACTTTCTCAGAACCCATGTAAAAGCCTGGCATGGCACCACACATCTGAAGCTTCAGCATGGGTAGAGACTGGCAGACACTGGGGCCTTTCTGCACAGCCAGTTTAGCTAAAATAATGAGCTCCGGGTTCAATAAGAGAGCAGCTTATCTAAATAATAAGGATAATAATAATGATGATAATAACAATAATGTAGAGTGTGATAGACGCAGACACCTCGCATCAACTTCTGGCCTCCACAGACACATGCATACACAGGTACATACACATGTGTGCATACAACACACACAGATTTTGTTTATACAAAAAGAAAGAAAGTTCATTGGTTGGAGAAGGGAGGTGGCAAGAGCACAGGAAACGGGATAAAGGAGGCTGGGATAAAGTTTCCCTTCTTTAACCAAACCTTGATTGTGCTGAATTTTAGAAGTGTGCTGTCCTTGCAAATCTAAAGCAACATGTAGCAGACCCATGTGCAGCTGAGTCCAGAACCGAGGCAGCAAATGGCCACAGGAAGGCTGATCCATGATTTGGGACCACAGCACTCAAAAGAGCATCCCTCGGTGATCTGTCACCTCAGACAAAAGCACTATTAACATGATTTCTTTGCAGTTGTCACCTTGCTGGCAGTCGCACTGCAATTGCCACTCCAAAGCTGTGGTCAGTGTGTTTGGAGATAAAGCAAATGAGGGGATGGACTGGTCGTGCTGGGAACTGGAATTCTCAGCATCTGAAAATGTGTTGCAGAGGCATTGTGGGAAAATTAAGAAAGGCACGGGAGACTTTGGGCTGAGGATATTGGTAAGAACTCAGTAACCAAACTGAAAGGAGACTATACCTGAAGATAAAAAGAAAACAAAGAGGGTAATTTCGCACTACAAAGATACACCAGCGAGGTGGCCCTCCTGAAAAAGCCACCCAGGCACTGGTTAACCTGAGTTCAGTCCCCCAGAGCCATCATGTGGTGGAAGTGAGACCTGACACTCGAATGTTGTCTTTCGGACTCCTTATGAGCACCCAGGCCTCATTCAAACCCACACAAAATAAATGAAGTCAGAGAGAGACTTTTATTATTGGTAGATACATGCATTTCCGTGCACTCAGTCACCATGGGAAACTAACCACCATGAGCTGGTTAAAATCACTGAGCTGAAAAGCTCTGAAGTTGTGATTTGAAGTACTGGGGCTCTTCCCATCAAAACTAGTCAAGCACCAACCTAAAGAAGCCCCCAGTGGACCAAAATGGGGCAACATCAACATCAACAAGAAAGATGATTGCAACAGATGAGCCCTGGGCTCACCTTCAAGAAGTTCACCTTCAGACTAAATTTGGAAGGTTATTAAGGAGGTGAAAGGGTTAAGGAGTGCTCAGATTCCTTTTCCTTTTTTTCTGAACTCTAAACTGCTTCTTAGTTCTATGGCACTGAATCCTGGGCTTGGAGAAAATGTTTACCCCTACCCCTGTAAGCTTCAGACGCAGTTGGTTTGGACTGCATATTGCTGGTTGGAGCCCAGGGCTTCTTATTCCTCTTTAGCAACTACCTCCACTGAAGACTTGATTGTGAGTGACTTCCATCCTCCAGAGGCACTTCCTTGGCTTTCTAAACAGCGGCACTCACAGCTCAACACACCACATCCTCCTTTCTACCCCAGGCACAAGCCAATCTGCAGAAAACAATGCTTCGCTCTGGTATACAAATGCTGAGGTAAGCAACTCCCTCACTAGGGTCCCTGACAGGCTGGGTCCCTGTTCTTCAGGGGTTCATCTTCCTTGCCTGGAAACGGCATACATAATTAGTCTTCAAAACTTTCCATGGTCCCCCATTAGCACAGGTGTTAGTCGTGTGTCTCACTGCTGTAACTGATGAAAGCAACTTAAGGAAACAAAGTTTGACTTCGGCTCACAATGTGGAGGGACAGTTATAGATGGTAGTAGGGTAAGGACTGATGAATGCCGGTGTCTGCACTCCAGGGACCCCAACCCACAGTGGGACGCTGTCCACATTCAGGGTGAGTCTAACCTAACCTCAAAGTTCCATTGTAGAAATGTCCAGAGGTTTGTCCCTTAGGTGACTCTAGATCCTGTGGCGTTGACAGTGTTGATCATCACAGCTCATGTCCTTGTGACCTCTTCTTCAGGCTACAGGCCTAGGGCACAAATATATTCCTGGGCTTTAACCACGCAACCAAGTTGCTCTTCATACACTATTGCTTCTGTTCATGTGAAGCCTTGCTAACTGTACTGAAGCTCCCCAAAGGTTGGGTGTATTCTGTCTGGTGTTTATCCTCCAGTGCAGATTTTGACACCCAGGGAGCACCCAGCAGACCCTTGTTATCCAGCAGAGAAGTATGTGGTCAGTGTAAAATCATCAAGAGGACATTTCTAAGAACCACCCGGAGCTCACAGCAGCATTTCCTTATGACCTCACATCTCCCAGCAGGTCCTTGACTTGAGTTTCACGCAAGTTGCTAATGTCCTGACATCACTATTTCATTAGATTTGCAATCTCACAACCTAGGTGCCACCAAAACAACGTGAGGATTAAAGCAACCTCAGTGAAACACCAAAAATGCTACACTGCTAAATGTTAGAATAAACATTCTATTGGACTTGTTGTGGGATATTTGATCACACTGTAACACCCCAAGACTGTGTTAATAAAGTTAACGTTGAATCAGGGGGCAGAGCCAGTAACTACTGACTGAAATTAGCCATAGAGAAACCAGGACTGTGGGTGGAGAACATGCACAGGAAGGAGTAGGGAGGGACTTAGAGATGTCATGCTCTTCAATCTGAGAAGTGCGGAGAGGCACTTTCTGAGCCTCTGGTTAAAAAATAAGGAGGGGGGGAATCAGCTGGTCACTCCTCCTCTGCTTCTTTGATCTATCAGGTTGAACATTTGTCTCCTGAGTCCTTATTGGTAATAGATGAACTTAGATAAAAACAACAGGGTCTCAAAAACATTCCCATGTGGCAACAAGATTTGCACTACAAGCACCAT